CACTAACGAGCCCCAGCTGCATTGTTATTCCTGCATCCCGACTCAACTCACAGCAAACTTCTGCTGAGTCACAACAGTCAACATGATTGCCTACGTCCGATGATAGATGTAGCAGAAGAAGAAGGAGAAGGAGAAGGAGAAGGGAGAGAATAGTTTCTTATATGAAGTCAGCAGAGATGACTTCGTAATATGACATCAGTAAATGCAGAAATGAAGAAAACTACGTTATCTCTGTTTGCCTTAGAGTAGCATTTTCTCGGTTCCCGAAAATTCCAATAAACTTATATCTAATAAATGAATATGTTGCGTTACTTTGATCCCTGTGGTTGGTTGGTTTCCTTACTAGGAGGACCCTCATAACATGTACATGACATCCCATTTATAGGCGACTGAAGTATATTGTGCATCATATTGCTTAACAAATGGCAGAGCCTCCGTGTTGCCCAAAATGGGGGGGGGGAAATAAAGGGATGTTGGACCGAGAATTGTCATTCTGGAAACAGTTCTTGGCAAATTGAATGTTAATCAGTAATATCTGTTTTACTTCTTTCCTATATATGTAATTAACAAATCTGACAACAAGAAGCTGGATTAGTGTTCAATTGTAGAGTATTTTCTTTTCCTTTTGCAAACATTTGTATTATATTTTTTCACAAAGAAATGCATACAATTCCATGTGCCTCTAATTACTGGATCAAATATATTTTAATAAGCTTGGCTGGGATCTGCCATCGGAGAGGTATTCCAGAATTTGCTTCCTGATGACTAATGACTAGTTAATGTAAAATCCTTGGGAGTCACATTAAACCCATATCAAGCCTCTTAGTCTGCATAACCATAATGTGGCGAATGGTCTCTGAACATCTATTACAGAATGAAAAGGTCCCATTGCTGGATTACAAGTTCTGACAAAATAACCAAATCAGAAAACAAAGCATGAAACCATGAATCGCTTAATCATTGTTTCTGAAAGAAATCATAATAATATAGGGGCATAAAACACGTCAAATAACAGACCACGATTTATCAACAAATGATCAAGTTTTAATCTCAGTTTTGGTCAGAAGCCAATGAACCCTATATGGCAGGGATGGGGAGATTTTTTTGGCACCGAGTGCTGAAAAGGGACAGTGCATGCACGCATGTGGTTTTAAGTGCCGAAAAGGGAGCACTTTGCACACACTTGGGCCTCGGCCGAAGCTAGGAAGAGGAGCTGTCCAGGGGGGCATATGCGTGCTGTAAAATGAACTTCTGGTTTCTGGCATGCACATGCGTGTGGCCAGCAGGTTTTCCAGTTGCTGCCACGCATGTGCACGCCCTGATTAGCTGGTTGGCATGCATGCTCAGACCAGAAAACGGAAGACCAGCTCTTCCATTTTGCAGCACTGCCACACGTACAAAGGCCAGATGATCGTCGCATGTGCATGCCGCCAGAAACCTGGAAGAGGAACAGGCAACGTTGCACATGCCATAGATTCACCATCATGAGTATATGGCTTAATATATTATATGAACCTAGTCAGAGGCCTAAAAATAACAAGTTGGGTAAAATGCGAAATAGACAGAATGTCAGTGTTCTAAGTATCATGTAGAATTAAATCAGAGTCCAAGGCAAAANCTCCCAGAGGAAATAAAAGAGGAGCGAAAGGGGAAAGGAGTTTGCAGGAGACAATTAGTTTTCTTCATTGGTTCATGACTCTCTGAGACTCCTTGCCAAGTTCTGCAGAGATCGGCCTGGCAGCTCTCCAAGTCAGATAAGGTCTGTGACCGTAAATCCTCCCTCGAAAGACTTTGCTGGATGTGAATGAGCAGAATTCACAGCAAATTAATAAAAGAGGTTTTTGTCGGGACAAGGAATTTGCTTCAGGCTCTTGGGAAGCCTCGGTCAGAACATATTAGGCAGCTGTAACAAGGAAGGGAATCAAGTTCTCCCAAGACCATTTCCTGGTCAATAAGATCTCTGCTTTCATGGTTAAAGATGGATGGAAAAAGAAGATGACCAGCACCAACTGGATGGACTCAATGACAGAGATGATGGGTTTACCAGCGGAAGATATAAATGACCAGACCAGGGACAGATCTTCATGGAGAAAACGTGGTTGCTAGAAATTAAAAACAAATTGATGACATCCAATCAACCAATCAATCAATCAATTTGTTTAGATCCATGTGCCCCTTTCAGGGAGGAAAAGAACCCCCCCCTCAATGCAACAGCCATGTTTTTGTATGCTAAAGTTTGTATCGATGGGAACATTCCCCATCTTGAATCCGTCTCTCACCACCGGCTCTTCAATATCCGTAAATTTCATTTTCTACCCAAGCGGATTCTTTGCTTGGCCCCACTCGGTCATGGCAGAGTTCATAGATGTCGTTGGTGACAAACCCGCTTTCGGTGCTCGCCAAGGTCACGAAGCCACTCTCGGAGTTGTTGACCACCATATTGTCATAGTCTCCACAGGGGTCTTCTCCTCCGAGACGGACACGGAAAGAGGAGTTCTGGGTTTGTGGTCTCGTTCCACCAAGATCAGCTTCCCCCTGGGTTTTAATCACGTTATATATCTCTAAGCTGGGGCTGTTTCGCGTCTTGGTAGACGGCCAACCGTCTTTCTCCTTCGTGTTCTCCTCTCTCTGCTCCCGTTTCCTTGGCCAGGAAAGAAAGGAAGGAAGGAAGGAAGAAAGAGAAAGGAAGGAAGGGAGGAAGAGAAAGAAATGAAGGAAGGAAGAGAAATAAAAGAAGGAAGGAAGNGAAAGCCTCCAGTGATGAAGCTCCCACAACTTCTGAAGGCAACTTTTGTTCCATCGATTGATTGTTCTTACTATCACAAAATTTCTCCTTATTTCCAGGTTGAATCTCTCCTTGATTAGTTTCCATCGATTATATCTTGTCTGGCCTTCAGGTGCTTTGGAGAATAGCTTGACCCCCCTTTTCTCTTTGGCAGTCCCACAAATATTAGAAGACTGCTGTCCTGTCTCCCCTGGTCCTTCTCTTCACTAGACTAGCCAGGCCCAGTTCCTGCAACCATTCATCGCATGTTTTAGCCTCCAGTTCCCTAAAATCATCCTGGCTGCTCTTCTCTGCAGTCTTTCTAGAGTCTCAGCATCTTTTTTAGAGTGTGGTGACCAAAACTGGATAATCTGTTATTATTCTTTCATGCTACCAAATTCTTCTGAAAAGCTCCAATTTAAGTTTGTTCTGGAGCTGTCATGCACGCATACCTTTTTAAAGAAACATCTCATTTAAGTCAATGGCTTTTTAAAAATTTTAACTGTCACTCAAGATTGGGGATCAAAACGTCACACCAATCATCAAGTGACTTAAGACACCACATTTGCTGCCCTCCATGGGGAGAAAGGGCACTCCACCGAATAAACAGCCTTTAATAAACAGCCTTTGATAGAATATATATAAAAGGCTACAGCTGCTTTTCCAATTGGATTTTAATAAAACCCTTTTTCCGGTCAAAAATCTGCCATCTATTTAGGAAATGCAGGTTGCAGCTATTTTAAGTACAAAATAAAAAGCGCCCTCTAGCGATACATGGTTTTTTTCTCAGGACATTTTAGGGTTTTGGAAAAAAAAAAGTCTCAAAAATGTCCTATTTTTAACCTCCTTGAATTCTTCATTTTTCAACAGTTCAGAGTGATTTCGACAAAGGAAAAGTCTTGGAGACAGCATGAACATCCTTATTTTATGAAAATTTTCACCCAAATTGTACTCCTACCCAACTCCAAAAACAAACAAACACCAACCCCCTCTTTTACCAGACTAACGCAGTGCTTTGGTTATCACAAATATATAGAACAAATATATAAAGGTAAAGGTTCCCCTCNTTTAGTCAGGCGCAGTTTTGTGGTGGAACCCTAAACAACACTACTTGGATGGAATAGTTTTACTCATAGCAGAAGGGTTTTCGAGGAAGAACTCAATGAGAAAAATAAGTTCTTTAATCTCAAGTTCGGTTCATTTTAAAAATAAACCTCAGGCCGCGAGAAGAGTATCAAAGGCAAGGACCGAAAAGAGAAAAATACATCCCACCCACCCCCAAAAGCACCTACTCGGAACAATGGCCCCAAGAAATTCAATAAATGGAGCAAAAGTTTGACTAGCAAAATAACATGTCAATTATTTCAGAAGAATTTTAATCCAAGAGATCCAGTTCAGTCACATTTAAAAAGCCTCTAACATAAGGGTTATAAGTTATAATGCAAGAGAATGTAAGGAGGCGGAAAGTTCAGCTTAAAGGATGGAATTTTCTTTCACCACCAAACAGCCTTTATGGATGGGAATTAAAGTGACAAAAAAAAGAGGAACGAAATACATAACTTAACGTTCCCACATTACAATGGAAATAAAAGTTCTGCATCCTTCTCCGCCCACAGTTTTCCAGGCCATGCGGAGCTGGTGAGATGCTGTTTGCATTTCTGTCAATGATGACTTATTCCGTTGTGCTTACTTGGTTGTTTTATTGCCTTCCTGATTTAGCTATTTTAGAAAGTTCCGGTGAATGAGCAACTGCAGAGTAGGATTAGTCAGCATTCTCCCCCCCCAGAGATGCTGGAGACAACCGAGAGGCAGCTAAGAATACTTCTACCAGACAATGATATCCTACCAGTCTATTCATAAACCCATTCATTATTCCTTCTGCTGGGAAAAAAAAAAGGCAGGGTATTTCACGCATTCAAGGTCCTGATCTGCGCTGTATAATTAGCATGAATGTACATACAGATACAGATTAACAGAGTTGGAAGAGACCTTGTAGGTCATCTAGTCCACCCACCCACCCCACCTACACCATTTCTGACAGATTACAGTCCAGTCTCTTCTTGAAAGCCTCCAGTGATGAAGCTCCCACAACTTCTGAAGGCAACTTTTGTTCCATCGATTGATTGTTCTTACTATCACAAAATTTCTCCTTATTTCTAGGTTGAATCTCTCCTTGATTAGTTTCCATCGATTATATCTTGTCTGGCCTTCAGGTGCTTTGGAGACAATGACTTTCTACTGGAAACTTCCTGAAGCCAGATAA